CTGGCCCCACACCCCATGCCCCGTCCCCCACACACTCCCAAACCTTCGTGCGCCGGCCCGATGTCCACTGTGCAAACAGGCAACACTCCCCCTGCACGCCCCTTGAAGGCCCGGAACCCCTGGCTGAGCTGTAGCGAGGAGTCACAATTTTGGGTAGAGGCAAGCGCTTTGTGGAAGTTGAAACCTGGGCAGTTCTGTACAGAGAGCTCATTTTTGTATCACCTGTGCATCCATTTGTGTGCATGCACAGTGACCCCCCCCCCCACGCGCACACACACACACACCCCAGTGCAAGGATGCTGTGCTATTGAAGAGTCAGGGGACAAACACAGCCGTACTGTTTAATTCAGCACGTCCTGAAACACCTGCCACTGCTCAGAGACAGGCAGTGCAGAGCGCCTTCCTTAGCTCCCAGGGCTGACAGGTCCAGGAACCCTTGGTTAGGGGAAGGGAAAAGGGTAGAGATCTGTCCTGAACTACAGCTCGTTTGGCAGCACCTCCGGCCTCGGCCTCTGGTTTCACTAGTAGTGTATGCCTGCATGCACACACACACCTGTAACAATCAACAATGTCTTCGGACATGGCCCAATGTCCCCTGGGTAGCAAAATTGCCCTTTGGAGAACCACTGATTTGGAGGGAGTGGCTAAGTGTCCGAATGTTTTATTCAACAGGTTTTCCTAAAATATTTCAGACATTTAGAAAAGACACGTCTGAAACAAATTTACATAGGTAAGCAATTGTTTTTAAGTTTTCTATTGTTATTTTTTTAAAGCTGATAATGTTTACCTTCTGGATAAACATGTTAGGAAGTATGTTAAAATAATCCAGGGCCTTTACGCCTTATAGTAAAAGGTTCTTTTTTTTTAATCTAGACCGGTATACAAACGAGAAAGAAAGGTCCTTGCCTATCTTCAGTCTGATGCCTAGCTATAGAGACATGTCTGCTCATCAGTAGAATATGCAATAATAATAATACACCTCGTGTGTACAATAAGTGCTGTAAAGTTTAGAACACCTTCCCATTGGCTAAATGCAAGAGTGACCAGAAACTTATTTTGTAGAAGAGAATGGAAATTACTCTCTTTCCTTCTCGCTGTCTCTTTTCTGATTATTTCTATTAGCCTTCAAGCACTTTAAACGTAATAGGAAAATACCAGAGAAATACCTTTTGGAGTATCTTTATAAATCTGCCCTGAAATCTCACACCAAAGTGAATGTCATCTTGAATTTCTGTTGGCTCTAACTTTGCTTTGCTTTTATAAGCAAATTCTAAATTCTTTTCTTTTCTTTTTTCGTTTTTGCCATAAGGCGTATATGCTCACCCAAGAGAGACAGAGAGAGGGAAAATGAGAAATCACCCCCCAGGGGGATGGCCATCCCACAGTCCCTTCTCTTCCTTTCTCCTCTAGGTATTTTGGGCATGCACACACACGCACCCGGTGTGAGTTTCAAGCCCTCAAACCATGGTCGACCATGTGGGAGTCCAATGCCTTAATAAACACAACACCTACTGGCCCCCCAACTTCAAAATTCTTAGGCATAAGAATTATCCTGTCTCACATGCTTTTATTTATCCTTTTAATTCACCTTTTTTTTTTTTGAGAGGTTTTTTCGCTATAGGGCGCGTGCGCTCACCAGACAGACAGACAGAGACAGAGAGACAGAAAGCGAGAAATCACCCCCCAGGGGGGATGGTCACACCGCAATCCCTTCTCCTCCATTCTCCTCTCAGGATCTTGGGCACGCACGCACACGCGCCCGGCGTGAGTTTTAAGCCACCGGGTCCAGGACGCGAACTGCAGTTGACTACGTGGGAATCCAATGACATAGCCATTACGCTAACTGCTGGTTCCCTTAATTCACCTTCTTGATAAAAAAAAATAATAATATATGTTCATGGTTTCAAATATAAAAGTATGCCAAGGTATAAAACTGAAAATCTCCGTGTCTTTATCCACTTACACCTCACTCACCAGAGTTAACATATTATTAACAGCTTCAATTTGCTTCCCATTATCATTAAAAATATATATTTTTTATATTTTTATGAACTTCTGATGTAACTATTGAATTCCACCTCTTCATTTTGGGTACTTAAATTATTTTTAGTTTTTCTAACATTTAGGGCTTCAAAGTATTTAAGCCTCCACTTCTTGGCTTACCAATTTTAGTATCTGTTGAGTCTATTATGAAAAATGAACATTTGAATACACTTCTGCCTCTTTCCATCTCTCCTCTCGCATCTTTTCTTACAGTGAATAACAAATTGTATACAGTATATAACAAATTACATAAAAATATAGGATATACAGGGGCCAGCAGGTGGCTGGTGATTAAGGTGCTAGACTTCACATGGCTGATTGCAGTTGAAGCCTCAGACCTAGCAGCCTGAGAATCAGGCTGGTCACATGTGCTTGTGTGCCCAAAATCCCAAAGAGAATGGAGAAGGGACTGCGGCCTGACCATCCCTGCTAGGAGGCGATTTCTCACTTTCCTTCTCTCTGTCTCCCTCCCACTAGGTGCACACACCCTATGGCAGAAACCTTAAAATGTATAGGTAACATACATTCGTATAAAGTTATATTATTTCGACAAGCCTTCGTATGTTAGTATTCCGGTTTGTTCATTCACCCTTAGTGCTTTGAAGGGTACAGGTTGATTCTAAAAATTGAAAACCAATGAACAGTACTCACACTTTCCTGCTAAGAAACCAATAATGTCATTGGATCCATGGATGACAAAATGACATTCTATGTCTATAAAACTCATTTCCTCCAAAGGGAACGTTTCAGCTCTTGGTCATTTTTAGCTGTCTTCTATTTTTCTGGATTGGGTTCAACAGTCCTCGTTTCCCACATTGCCTTCTTTCTGTTATTCCTTTTCCTTTTGCTGGAGAAACTTAGGTGATTTTTTTTTTCCATCTAGGTCTCGTGCGCAGTCAGATTTCTGCCTGGCAACGTCTTCGTTTTGCCCTCGTACTTTACCTATTAGTAATACAACCTGGCCTAAGAGAATAGGCCTCACACCATTTTCCCTCAGCGCTCTGAAGAGACTGTCGTTATCCCTGGTATCCACTCTTCCTAATCAGTCTGGTTCTCAAACCCTTCTGAAACGTGCTTTCCTCCCCTTCATTGTCTCTCTTTTTTTTGCCTTCGGAACTCCTACTGGTAGCTGTTGGACCTCTCGGATAGATTCTCCATCTCTCACAACGTTGCCTTCATATTTTCAATAGCCTCAAGATGTTGATGTTTGCATTGAACTGTACAGCCCTTGCACAGAATTTTTTATTTGGGGATTCATCATCGTAATTTCCAAGAACCAGTTCTTGTTCTGATTATTACTATTCAAAAATGGGTTTTTGTTTATTTGGTTTTTGCTTTTCTCTCTCGGAGGACATTATTAGTACATATTAGAAGTCGCCTTTGTAGCCCTTGTTTCTTTCAAGGTCAGGTGTCCTGTTTACCTTGCTCTTTCTCTTCCACGCTATTAATTGTCTTTAAAGGACTGGTCATGCTTCGTTTTCCATTTGCATTTGTAATGAATGGCTAGTATTAGCTGGAATGGAATCCTCCTGTAGCTCTCTTTCCTAGCCAGGCAGCTGGGAGGATCGACTGTGAGCCCTGCACAGGTGTGTGTGTGTGTGTGTGTGTGTGTGTGTGTGTATGGGGGGGTTGCACATCAGAGCTGCCTTTCCATCGTGTCTGGACAGGGAGCAGTCAGCTGGGTAGTCCCACTATTACAGAGTTAGGACAAGGACATTGTATTGTATGGCTGGAGTTCTTTGTAGGTGGAATGTCCCTTCCTCCTTTGTCACCCACGCTTGTTGAGCAAGTCCTTTGTAACTTCATACTCTGCTCTCCTTCTCTTTCAGGGCTGAAATATCCCTAGGCAGGTTGCCCACTATTTTTAGAAACCCATTCGTTGGCTTCATTTGAGAATAAAACCGACTGTTGCCAATGACCCTGTATACGGAGAGAAGAAAGGGCCTGGCGACTGTTCCAGCTTCACTCTAAAGCCTAAAAAAAAATGTTAATAGTAATAATGAAAAGAGATATTGTTTGTTAACATCCTTTATTTGACTTGCATCTTTTTTTATTTTTTTCAGGTTTTTGCCATAGGCTACATGTGCTCACTGGAGGGAGAGACGGATGACCACCTGCAATCCCTTCTCCACCATTCACTACCGGGGACTCTTGGCGTGCACATGCACACACACACACACACACCTGTTGTGAGTTTCAAGCCACCAGGTCCAGGACTCAAATCACAGTCAGCCATATGGGAATCCAGCCCCTTCACCATTATGCCACCTGCTGGCCCCTGGATCACTTCAAACTACTGAAAATGAACAATTTGTTCTAATTTAAATTCCAGTAAATGTTTAGATGCATACACCACTAACACAACCACCTCATATGTGTTCATATATAGGGGTAATAATTTACTGCCTGCAGGAACTAATATGGTATTGGAACCACCAAAGATTCAGAAAGAAATATTTTATTAAAAAAAAAAAGATTTGCTGCAAATGCACTGTGTATAACTTTACTGAAGAGAGAAGAATGGAAGAAAATATTTCAAAGGAAATAAAATCAGGATCTTCTGTCCATAGTTATTCGTTATTTGATTACTAAAAGTACTATATTTCAAAGACCTGCTTAGCAGCTACATAGATATATTCAAAACTAACCTTTGTCTAAACTTCAGAAATATCTATTAAAGTGTCTTTTCAGGAGTTCCAACATCAGTCCAAACAGAAGAAAGCTGGCTGCAAGCCTTGGCTAGTAAGAAGCTTCTAAGTGAGTAGTTTGATTTCTTTGTACTGGCTGGAATATGGGTCACATATTGGACTATCACAGGTGCAGAGGGCCAATAGAACTAGGTTCGAATCCCAGCCCCCCAGACAAGCTGACATTGTGGTGTAGGACAAGGTGCTTAACCGCATTGAGTCTAAGATCCTTCAACTGTTCGCATCTGTAATACTGTCACAGGATTGTTAATGAAGATCAAAAGGACATTGAAGATTTGAATTCCTTAGCACTTACTCTTCAATGAATGGTGGCGTTTATTTCACATCAAGAAATTATCTGCTATTACCTATTTTCCCTCTTTATTCATGAAAGAGAGCATTTGTGTGCTTAAAAAAGGGGGTGGGGGAAGAGGAGCACTTGCCACAGGGACTGCTCCTGCCATGGTCACCTTCCTTCAGTTAGTACAAGTGCTAGCTAGAGAAGGGAGAGGAGGAGGGAGAAAGCACCCTTCTGTTGGGCATGATCATGCCACCACCCCTTTCCTTCATTCTCCATCTGTCGGGATGCACACACATGCACCCTGTGTGTTTTCCAAGCCACGGGGATCAGGATTCAAAATGTGATCGTCCGTGTGGTACCCAGCTCCTTTAACCGTAAGGCCAGGGGGCCAGCCCAGCCCATCAGATCCTGGGCACTCGGCACAGGATGGGCATGTCTCAGGCACCCAGGTTGGGGATTTGAACCATGGTCACCAAGTGGAATGTGACTTCTCTTGAGTAGCACACTACCACCGTACCACAGAGTTGTCTGCCATTATATTTTCGATACACGTTTTTATTTTTTATTGTTGATGTTACATATACATATTGCTTTTAAGCAATTACATATTGCATTAAGTGATAAAAAATGTAAAAGTTATCACTTATCTCAGTTTATGCCTCAGAAGTAATCATTATGAATAGCTTGTCCTTTTATATTCAAGCTTTACATTAGATCACTTATTCATGAAACGCTTACTACACACTCATCACAGGTCAAGCCCGGTTCTAGGGAACCAGTAGTAGGGAACGAACTCCCTGTCTCAGTAATCTTGTATCAGAGTACAAGAGATGGAAGGGATGGTGAGATACATGCTACACAAAATAAATAAGAAAATATATAGACCAGCCACAGTGGCACGACACTTGTGTAATGCTCCATGATGCTGAAGCCATATAGGAAGGCCCCAGGTTTGCACCCTGAGGTCTCCCTGTACATTTGGGGTGCATACCCCATACCTCACCTGTGATCCTAGTAGGCTGAAGGATGGGGCTGGATCATGACATGAAGACCCTGTTCGGGATGCTGTCTCCTCTGTCTCTCTCACATGTAAGAAATAAATAAATATTTAAAAGTAAGTAAACATACACTACATTAGATGAGAAGAGTGCTAAGGAGAAAATAAATCAGAGAAAGGGACAGAAAGTGTCAGGATGGGAGGGTTGCAGGATCATACAAAGTGCTCAGAGCCAAGACCTGAAGGAGGTGAGAGCATGAGGCACGACCATCTCTGAGGGAAGAGTGTTCTGGCTGGCCCTATGTACTAATCATGTATCTGACCCCCAGTTGAACTTTCTTACTGATTCTAAAAGTTTGTCAATAGAAGATCTACTGAAGAGTGCAGTTTTATTTCTCCTTTAACATTTCACTAAGCAGTGTCTGTGGTCTGAATGTCTGTGTGCCTCCCCACCCCACGCCCCAGATGCATATGTTGAAACCTAATCATCCAAGTGTATATGTTGAAACTGATCATCAACGTGATGGTATTAGGAGGTGAGACCTGTGGGAGATGATTAGGTCATGAGTGTGGAGCCTCACAGATGGGATTAGTGTCCTTGGGAAAGACACAGAAAGCCGGTTCACTCCTCCTACCACGTGAGAACATAGCAAGACACACCATCATGAACTGGGAAATGGACCTTCAACAGACACTGACTGTATTGGCATCTAGACAGTGGACTTCCTAGCCTCCAGAAGTGTGGAAAATAAATTTCTGTTGTGTATAAGCTAGCCAGTTTATAATATTTTGTTACAGCAATCCAAAGGAGTAAGACAGAAAAAATGATACCAAGAAATAAGGGTACTGCGGAGACCAGCAGTTAGCATAATGGCTATGTCACTGGACTCCCATGTAGTCGACTGTGATTTGAGTCCCAGACCCAGTGGCTTAAACTCACGCTGGGTGCGTGTGCGTGCGTGCTCAAGATCCCAAGAGGAAAATGGAGAAGGGATTGCGGTGTGGCCATCCCGCTGGGGGGTGATTTCTCGCTTTCTGTCTCTTTGTCTGTCTCTGTCTTTCTGGCGAGAGCATGCGCCCTATTGCAAAAAAAAAGAAAAAGAAAAAAGAAAAAAAAACCTCTAAAAAGAAAGAAAAAAAAAAGAAAAGGGGGGACAAAATTAAGAAAGAGATAAACCAAACAGTACAGGTACTCTTTCCTAAGACACAGATTTTGTTTTACTTTTTTGCTGCTTTGTCAGGATTGATGACAATCGTACCTCTTTTTACAGTGAAGAAAACAACCCCTACAATAACAGAAGCTGAGCCTGAATACCTGGCTTCTAAGTTAAGAGGTAACTGGGTGTCTGGCCTTTTGCCATTTTGCTAACAAAGGCAAACTACCAGTAGGGGACCAACCTTAATTTGCCCAGTGTCCACCCCTGATAGAAAAGCACTCGTTGGGGCCAGCAGATGGCACAATGGTTATGTCACTAGAGTCCTGGATCTGGCAGCTTACACCAGGCACGTGGGCATGCACACCCACAATCCTGAGAGGAGAATGGAGGGGAAGGGATTGCAGCATGGCCATGCCCCCTGGGGAGTGATTTCTCGCTTTCTGTCTCTTTATCTCTCTGGTGAATGCACATACCCTATAGCAAAAATCTCTAAAAAAAATAAGTAAAATAAAATTAAAAAGAGTACCTATATTCAGGAAGCTGGTAAAACTGTGGGGTTCAGAGCATTTAAACAGTGTTTGCTACGAGGGTAGGGTGGGGGAGACTGTCCAAACTAGAGAAATTAAAATACACTGGACCAACAGTTTTAACTTTTTTTCTAAATCTATTTTTTTTCTCCTCAGAAAAATGGGTAGTTAATCCAGGAGAGTCAAAACTAAACGTATTATGCGAGCTGGAGGTAACATCTTTATTTATGTCAACTAGTATACTGTTCTCATGATAAAAGTAGCTTATTTAATCTTCAATTTTCTCTCTCCTTTTTTTTCCTATTTAGTTTAAGGAAGACTTCGTAGCACTATTTGAGCCTTCCCTAAGAACATTACCCTGCATTGGGCCACCGTCCATTCTGGCTTACAAAAAAGAGAGCTCCAATTTAGGCATTAACTTCAAGGTGACTTTAATTTATGTTTAATTATTACTGACGACAGAGAAAGCTACATAATGATTTGCACAATACACTGTGAACATACTTGGAAAGAAGAAAAATTAAGTCAAAGAGCTCATTTACTTTGGGTACACTCAGAATGGCCGTGTTAGTGTCCTGAGACTGCTAGGAAGCTGGAACAGCACATGGGACCATGTTGTAACCAGCACCCCAAAATGAGTGGCTTTATACAACATAAACTGCTTGTCCTGTGGTTCTGGAGGCCACCTACACTCTGATCCATCCAAGGCCACCTGTCTGGAGGTATGGACAGGGCCACCCAGAAGGGAGAATTCTCTCTCACCTCCTCCTAGTTTGGGCAGTGGTCAGCAAGCCTCAGCTGCAATACTCCAATCTCTTCCTCACTTGTCAGGTGTGTTCTCTGTAAGCCTGTGTCCAAATGGCCCTCTCCTCCAAGGGCATCTGTCACGTTAGATTAGGTCCCATTCTATTGATCTCATCTTAACTGGATTACATCTACAAAGAGTATATTTCCAAATAAGGTCACATTCATAAATACCAAGGATCAAGATTCCTTTTTAGATACACAATTCAACCCAGAACAGTGGCCTCCAAGCCTCCAACCTGGTAAATGTTTGCTGCATTTGCTTGTGTTCATAGACCAATTCAGGCTGGTGCTTGATGGGCAAGGGAAAGATCACCTCAGTAATCCCAGCAGTATGGGCCAGGGCCCTATAGCAGAGAAGAGACCGACTGGTGGCATGGTTATTTCCAGACTTGGATTGGATGCCATGGCCACGCAGAGAGAGCTGAGCATTCCCCACGTCTAAACACCCTCGGTCGCTTCTCCCATGTGTGCTACAGGCACAGGTTTATCCACAAACTAGCAGGCAGCACAGATGCAGGTGCAGGGATGGGTGGGTGGGTGGTTTAGCTGCATCGACGTGATGTTCATTGCCATTTTATACAGCATAGTGAGCTATATGCTGGTGAAGGCAGCCTATTAAATATATCATGTAGTGTGCTATCAATAGTTACCATTACACTTACCCAGGTTTTCCAAACCTTACGCTTATCCTTAGGACTCGACGGGCTGAACTTCTTTTTTTAAACACAACCCCTTCCTTTTTCTGAACCACAGACATTTATATCCAGGAATGTTCTGGAGCTGGGGTTACGCTGTCTTGCCCTGACACCCAAAGATGGGCCTGAATAAGGGGAAGGTTTCATGCCTCTTCTTCAGGGAGAGGTCCCCACGTTGGCCTCTGTGCAGGGCTGGCGCCTCCAGAGCTCAGGCGCAGAGTTGATACTTGCCTTGTGCTGGGGCAACCCAAACTGCCTTGCCCACTCTCCTCTCCCATCACACCCTCTTCCAAGGCAGATGCCAAGAGACTCATGCATGGTCTCCTGAAGTCTCCTCCTTATTTCACCCTCAAATAAAGAGGTGAAGGGGCTATAAGCTGGGAAGTCAATACCATGCACCTGGGATGGAAGAGGTTGTAGGTGGCCTGGTGTTGCCAAGCTCTCATTCTGCCCTGCTCCATCATGCGGTGGCTGTCCCAGACTGTCACCATCATCTCTGTACAGGAAGACTGCTCCCTAAGCATCCTGCCTTTGTGCAGTTCTTACTTTCAGGCCATCGATGTCGGCCATTACTCTGGGGTGGTGAACCCCTGGCTGCACTGTTCACCTCAAAGACCTTTTAGCTCATATTGCGCATTGTTGCCAGTCTCTGAGGTTGAGTTCCACGACCAATACAGACACCCTGGTGGTGTTTGTGATCCGAAGCTGCATCTGGGTCTCTTCCTGGAGCTCTGTGCCAAGGAGTGACTGCTCAACTGTCCAGGATACTCTGCAGTCACAGATTTGACCTCGGGTGACAACAGGGCCACAGTGTACCAACCCCTCACTCAGTCACCTGAGCCCCTAATGCCTCCTGAACTACTTTACCACACAAACAGAAATCTGAGCTTCAAAGGGGCTCCCCTTGGGACAGGATGCTCATTTAGTTGAGAAAGTTGAGGGATCAGCAGATGGCATAATGGCTATGTTACTGGACTCCCATGTAGTCAATCATGGTTCAAGTCCTGGAGCTGGAGGCTTAAAACTCACGATGGGCACATGAGCATGCATGCCCAAGATCCTGAGAGGAGAACAGAGGAGAAGGGATTGTGGTGTGGCCATCCTTTCTGGGGGGTGATTTCTCACTTTCTGTCTCACTGTTTTTCTCTCTGTCTCTCCAGCAAGTGCACGCTCCCTTTAGCAAAAACCTCTCTATTAAAAAAAAAAAAATTGGTCATTGTATGTGCTCACATAGTAATGCCAGGGGTTTTTTAAAAATTAATTTGGGGCCAGCAAGGTGGCATGGTGGCTAAGGTGTATGGATCCCACATGGCCAACTGAGTGGTTCAAGTCCAAGACCCAGAGACTTGAGAAGCAAACCAGGCCTGCAAGTGTGCCCATCCAAGGTCCCACTGGGGATGGGGCGCTGGAGTGGAGAAGAAGGGATCATAGTATGGCCATCATACTTTCTCACTTTCTCTCTCTTCCTGTCTCTCTTTCTGGTGAGTTCACGTGTCCTATAGCAAACTAAAAATAATTGTTTTTTTTCTTTTATTCATGATAAAGCATGTGCACACCCACACGTGCAGTAGACAGAAAGCACCCTCCACAGACTGGGCAGGCTGCAATCATTTTCCTCCTTTTCTCCATCCTGTCGGAATTTGGGGCATGCACACACATGTGCCCAGGGCATTTTTCAAGCCACCGAGGCCAGAATTCAGGCTGCAATCAATCCTGTAGGCCCTGACCCGCAGTGCACAGAGCCTCCCCACCATCCTACCTGGCTGGCTCCTACTTCTCTCGAACCGTGCATGGCCAAAGAAGTTAGACCAACGCTTTTTCTTATCTGGCCCTTTCCAAAAGAGTTTTAGGTGAGACCAGCAGATGGAGTAATGGTTACGTCACTGGATTCCTACATGGCTGACTGTGGTTCGAGTTCCAGACCTGGCAGCTTGAAACTTGTGCTGGGTGCATGTGCATGCATGCCCCAAATTCCAAGAGAAGAATGAAAGAGAAGGGATTGTGGCATGGCCATCCCCCATTGGGAAGGTGGTGATTTCTTACTTTCTGTCTGTCTCTCTGGCAAGTGCACAACCCTATAGCAAAAATTCTCTCAAAAATAATAAGAATTAATGGTATTCCAATACCTTGAACCATTTGCATAAAATCAAGTGAGTATTTTTCTTGTCTCTTGCACCTAGTTACACATTATATATTCCTTTCCCCTTTAAGGGACTCTGGTGTCAACAGAAAAGTCATATCTGCATCTTTCCTCTTATAATGTCACTTAGTGGAATATACAGATCTGGCTGGTGTGAGTCCAGCCCGGGAGCTTTGCCTCGCCATATTTCTAGATACTGTCCAGGTGTTGATGGGAGTGTTAGGTAAGGTGGTGCATCCCGGTCACCTCTGCCTCCTACCCTGTACTCTCTGGCCTGCCCTGCTGCTCTCAGAATCCCAGACCTGCTCATTAGCACGTCTTCATGGGTCTTCTCCGTCTCTCTCCCTCTCAAGGATGAAGAAGAGGACACGTTGCCTGAATGTGAATTTTGTGGCAGTGATCTAAGAGCATTTCTTTCCAATATGGACATTTACTGTGACTATGAGACCTCTGAACTGTTAGGAAAAGTAAGTTTGCAAGCAGCTTTACTGAGGAAATAGCATTATTTATAAGCACAATGTTAAGTCATGCATAGTGTTTTTGCCAGCCTCTGTCCCTGGCATTGCCATCACTAAAGAGTTATGGTAACTGTCAGGGAAATGCACATCACAGACACAATGGGGTCCCACTACATACCCACGAGGAGGGCTATAACTAAAAAGAAAGTAACATGTGTTGCTAAAGGTGTAGAGAAACTAGAACACAGCAACAGCTGCTGAGGGGAAACATAAAATGATACAGTCGCTTTGGAAAACAGTCTTGCAGTTCCTTGAAAAGCTAAGCATAGTTACCACATGTTGCAGCAATGCCTCACCTAGGTTTAGGCCCCCAAAAGTTGGCATTGTATGTCCACGTAACAATATATACACAAATGGTCATTGTGCACCATCCACAATGCCAAAAGTGGAAACAACCCAACTGTCCATCAACTGATAACTGGATAAATGAAAGGTGGTATTGTGGAAGGCTGCATATTGGATCTTGCACATGAACAACTGTTGGTCCATTTTGTTCCCTTACCCTAACATGGCTGTCTGCTTCTGTAAACCTGCTTGCTCTTCTCATGAGAAAATAGCTCGTGCTAGCCATATAGAAAACCATACCCAGGACGACATCTGTACCTGCTACTGTCTTTGTTAACTAGCCCGAAACCCTTTTGTTTAGCAATGGAACTGCTTACCTGGAAATCCCACTCCCCTCAGAAATAATTAACCTGCTTGATTCAGCTTCTGTAACTGCTTGCATAGAAACCCCTGGTAACTGACCGCCTATAAAAAGACTACGCCAACTTCAGTCGGGGCTACAGTTCTGACTCTCAGTACCCCCCTCTTCCCCCCTCCCCCCGTCAGGCCGTAGTAGCTGGCCAGCTAATAAACTTAATCTGGCTTTGGTGGTTGCTCATTTGGTGGCACTCTGCAACAGTATATCTATACACTGAAATATTATTAGACCATAAAAAGAAATCTGAAGTCCAGCAGCATGCTATGTTATGGACAAGCCCTGAAAACATGCCAAGTGAAAGAAGCCAGTGGTAAAGTGCCACATAGTATGTGGTTTCATTTACGTGAACTACACGGAACAGCAAGCCTAGAGAGACAGAAAGTAAATCAGTGGTTGCCAGGAGCTCGGAGGTCAGGAGGATGAAAAGGGATTGTTAGTGGACATGGTTCTCATGTTCTAAAATGTATTGTGATGGTGACACAGCTAATGAATACACTAAAATCCAAGGAACTATACACCTCTTTAACGAGTGACTTGTGTGGTATGTGAGTTATATCTTCATTAAACTTTTATGGGATTGGAGGGAAGAGTTATGATAGATTGTTATCCAAGCTCCTTAGCCCTTTTTAAAAATTATTTCATTTTTAGTTATTCATTCATTTATTTTAATTTGACCAGAGAGAGAGACAGAGAAAAAGAGAGGGAAAGTGAGAAAGCAAGCCACTAGGTCCGGGACTCAAACCGTGGTCAGCCATATGGGAGTGTCTAGCACCTTCACCACCACACCACCTGCTGACCCTGCCCTCTTTGGATTTTATCTCTAGTCATCTTTACCTAGGACTGATCAAATAAAAATTACCTCTTTGCTTCTCAGGCCTCCTGTTGTACTGATTTCCAAAATCTGGTTGAATATATCAATGAGGAAGAAAAAAAAACCAAGAGTTCTAAACCAGAATTAATTAGCATTGTCCCGCATGCAGCCCATGGCAGCGAAGCTGACAGACTCAAGGCCAAGGAAAAAGCCCTGCAAAGGTGACACTGAGCCTTTGATCTCGAAACTCAGGTAGAACAACTTAGTCGGAGAGCTTTTGTAAGAAGAACTTTATTTTTTCAAAATATATCCTTTTGAAGATGTGATCTCTCTGAAGAAATAAAAATGAGCCAAAGCTGGGGCCAGCAGGTGGCATAGTGGTTACAGCACAGGACTCTCACATGACCAACTGCAGTTCAGTCCTGGACTCATGACTTGAAACTCGCACTGGGCGTGTGTGTGTGTGCATGCCTGAAACCTTAAGAGAATGGAGGAGAAGAAATTGTGGCATGGCTATTCCCCTCAGGGAGTGATTTTTTTCACTTCCCCTCTCATTCTTTCTCTCTCGCTTTGGTAAATGCATGCACTCTAACGCAAAATCCTCTTAAAAAAAAAAAAAAGGAAGAAAAGAAAGAAAATTATCAAGACAATTCAATTCAGAATCTCTACTAATACATAGGAAAAAATTGTCCAATAAGTACAGACCCATGTACTCTGATTCAATAGGCTATATTTATAAATAACAACGAATTAAAAATAGCAAGGGTTGGCATTTAAGCAATTAAAGTTTGCACTGTATTTTTCAATTATTTATTTTAATTTTATTTATTATTGTCATTATTCTTTAACTTGTATACAGTAATGGCAATCATGAGAGAGAAAGAGAGACAGAGAGAGAAAGTGAGAAAGCAACCTGCCAGGTCCGGAACTCGAACTGCAGTGGGCCATGTAGGAGTTCAGCACCCCAACCACCACGCCACCTTCTAGCCCCATGGTTTATATTCTTTTAAGCTGCAACCACATTTCTGATTTACTTGTGATATTGTTTGATGTTGTAGAAAACAGGAGCGACAAATGGCCAAGCGTCTTGCAATCATGCCGATAGAACCGACTAATTTTTTTGAAGAAGGTGAGTTCATCAACACTTAGGGTAGAGACAAGGTGTACAATCTGAGAAAGCTCAGATGCCTGACTAAATGGTAAAAATTCATGTATTTTGGGATCAGCAGATGACATAATAGTTACGTCGCTGGACTCCCACACAGTCAACCATGGTTCAAGTTCTGGACCCAGAACTTTGCGGTGTTGCCATCCTCCCGGGGTAGGGGGCAGGGTGATTTATTGCTTTCTGTCTCTCTGGCAAGTGCATATGCATTATAGCAAAAAACTCCCTAAATTTTTTTTGATTTTAAGGATTTTGAGTCCTTAAAAAATATGTATGTATAGATATAGACAGATAGATGTAGAAAGAAAAGCACTTGTGTATGAGTCAGGATAGAACAGACTTGCTGTAAGAACAATCATCCCACAGCTCGGTGATTTACGCACATCCAGAGGTGCCTGACTGGCTCTCTTTTAGCAGTTCTCTGAGTAGTGACTCGGGACCCAACCTCCTTCCATCCTATGACGTTGCCAAACTTTTTAACCATCTTGCAATATTTAATACAACTAAAGAAATAAAAAGGTCATTGAAAACGGACATATTTTAAATATACGTCAGTTAAATACAGGTATTGATCAGTTCAAATGAAGGGCCTTGCTGAATGCCAGGCTGCCTGCAGCTTTGGGGCCTAAACGCTGGGACCCATGGCTCAGCCCCTCCCCAACTCACCTTTGGACTTCAGGTTTGTGTTGTGGGACTTTAAGATGAACTTGTGCCCCTCCCTGGCCCATCTGGATACTGGTTCAAGCAAAGGACCTTGCCAGACACCAAGATGCTTGCAGCTGCAAGGCCTAATGGCTGGGACCGTGGCATATTCCCTCCGCACTCACCTTTGAACTCTCAGGACTTCAGCATTTTGGCTAGTGGGTTTTGCACACCATGTGATCTTTCCTTTGCTGCTGAATTGAAGCTCACTCACTCAGTTTCAGGCCCACCTGAAACAGGGAGGGCTTGGGGTCATCCAGGACCAGTGACAACATGCAGGGTGCTGGTGAGCAACAGGGAGGCAGAGCAGAAGAGCAATAGTCAATTTTCTACTCCTGCACACCTTTGAATGCTCAGAGATACCCTGAATAATTTAGGAAGGAATGTATAGGTCACTAGATGATTAGGAACAATTGCAGAGGCACTAGAAATATGAGCAACCAACAAAATGTTTTCCCACAAGGAAAAAAAACATCAACTCCATGTCACCCACAGACAACACAATGGAAGTCATGAAAATGCTGGGTAAGTAATTCAGAATATTTGTAGTAACCAAACTAAATGAGATGCAAGAGAAAAGAGACCACAGGCTCCAGGGGATGACAAAGTCCTTTCACAATTTGAAAGAAGAAATAGACACCATAAAAAAAGAATCGAATCGGGGACCAGCAGGTGGCATGGTGGATACTCTCACATGGCCAATCATGATTTGAGTCCTGAAATCTAGTGGCTTGCTCTCTCTCTCTCTCTCTCTCTCTCTCTCTCTCTGTGTGTGTGTGTGTGTGTGTGTGTGTGTGTGCGTGTGCGTGTGTGTGTGTGCGTGTGTCTAGTCAAATTAAAATAAATGAATGAATAAATAAAATTAAGTAAAAAATTCTTTTTTAAAAAAAAGAATCAAACAGAATTGTTAGAGATAAAGAATATAATACAGGAAATTAAAACCTCCCTCAAAAGTATTAAAAGCAGATTTGATTGAATCTCAAATACAGAAGATAAAAACTCTGACCTAGAAAAAAGTATCAAAAATACTGAGAAAACCACCAAGAAAAATGAGGATAATATATGAGAAATACTAGATACTAGCAAGTGCCCCAACATGTGGAACTGGTATTCCAGAAGAGGAAAAAAATAAAAATAAAAAGGGTAAAGGTCATTTGTTTTATGAGATCCTGGAAGAAAACTTTCCAAACCTAGAGAGGCATTCAAATATCCAGACCCAAGAAATACAGATGACCCCAAATAGAATCAGCCCAGGAAGATCCTCTCCAAGGCACATCATAGCCAGATTGGCCAAAACCACAGAAAAGACAAGATACTAAAATTGGCAAGAGGGAAACATTAAGTTACTTACAAAGTTTATCCCATCAGGCTAACATTAGACCTCTCATCAGAAACAATGCAGGCAGGCGGGAACCAGCAGTTAGCGTAATGGCTATGTTGCTGGACTCCCACGTAGTCGACCGCGGTTCGTGTCCCGGACCCGGTGGCTTAAAAAAACTCATGCCGGGCGCGTGTGCGTGCGTGCCCAAGATCCCGAGAGGAGAATGGAGGAGAAGGGATTGCGGCGCGACCATCCCCTCTGGGGGTGATTTCTCGCTTTCTGTCTCTATGTCTCTCTCTGTCTGTCTGGCGAGCGCACGCACCCTACAGTGAAAATCTCTCAAAAAAAAAAGAAACAATGCAGGCAAAGAAAGAATGGGGAAATATAGTCAAATTGTTCAATGAAAAACAATTTCAATCAAGAATACTATACCCAGCAAGATTATCCTTCATATGGGAAAAAAAGATAAAAACATTTGAGATAAACAAAACCTGAAAGAATTTACCAACTCCAGGGCAGCTCTTCAAGAGGTTCTAAAAGGAGTACTATACCAGGAAAACTAAAAAGTCAGATGAACGGTTATAAGATAACAAAAATCAACCAAGAAAATGGCTCACTTCATGATAGGAACAAGTCCGGAAATATCGATAGTAACTTTGAATGTTAATGGATTAAATTCTTCAATTAAGAAACACAGACTGGCTGAATGGATTTAAAAAAAGAGACCCAGAAACCTTCTATTCGTCACCTACAAGAAATGCACCTTATGGATAAAGACATATATAGACTAAAAGTGAAGGGCTGGAAAAAGATACTCCATGCAAATAGAAATCAAAAAAGGGCTGGAGCTACAACACTGATTTCAGATAAAATAGGCTTCAAGACAAAGACTGTTAAGAAGAGACAAAGAAGGGCATTGCATAATAATAAATGGGTTCATTCAGCAAGAAGACATAATGCTTATAAAAATATCTATGCGCCCAATTCAGGAGCACCTAAATACATGAAGGAAAGACTGCTGGAGCTAAAAGGAGAGGTGGGGTGCAACACTATAATTACTGGGGATTTCAACACCCCACTGTCTTCTATAGACAGATCTTCTAAACAAAAAGTAGACAGATACAGGACCTAAATGACTGTAAAATTGTAGTACCCAGACTAAAGGAGATGCAAGAGAAAAGAGACAACAAGCTCCAAGAGATGATGAGGTTTTTCACAATCTGAAAGAAGGAATAGACACCATAAAAAAGAATCAAATGGGCACCAGCAGGTGGCATTGGTGGTTAAGGAGCTGGATACTCCCACATGGCCAACCACAATGTGAGTCCTGGAACCTAGCTAAAAGCTTTTCCACTAAAACTAGGCAAGGCTACATACTTTTTCCACAGCTTTTTAATATAGTGCTGGAAGTTTTATCCAATGCAATCAGAAAAGAGAATCATATAAAGAACATTCAAATAGGCAAAGAAGAGATGAAAATATCTTTATTTGCAGATGACATAATGGTATACTTAAAAGACCGAAAGGTCTCCATGAAAAAACTTCTCGAAGTAATAAATGAACACAGTAAAGTGGCAGGATACAAAACCAATTATCTGAAACTGTATAGCATTTCTATATATGAGCAACAAGTTGAAGGAAGTAGAGCTGAAGAAAGGAATTCCTTTTACCATAGCCACAAAATATATATAAGATACCTAGGGATAAACCTAACTAAGGAAGTCAAAGACCTTTACAAAAGAAACTATGAAAAGCTTAAAAAGATATTGAAAATGACATTAAAAAAGTGGAAGGATATCCTATGTTCCTGGATTGGAAGAATTAATATAATCAAAATGTCAATTCTACCCAAATTAATCTACACATTTAATGCAACTCCAATCAAAATACCAGGGACATTCTTCACAGATCTAGAAAAGACAATCATAGAATTTGTCTGGAATCATGGAAAATCTCATTGCCAAAGCAATCCTGCATAAGAAGAGTAGAGTGGGTGGCATCTCACTCTCTAACCCCAAAATATACTATAAGGCTGTGATAATCGAACAGCATGGTATTGGCACAACAACAGACAAGTGAACCAATGGAATAGAATAGAGACCTCAGAAATAAACCCCAAAGCTTATAGCCAACTGATTTTTTTTTTTGAGAGAGAAGTTTTTGCTATAGGGTGCGTGTGCTTGCTGGAAAGACAGAGAGAGAAAGCGAGAAATCACCCCCCCCAGGGGCAATGGCCACACCACAATCCCTTCTCCTCCATCTCCTCTCAGGGGAGGAGAATGCACACATGCCCGGCGTGAGTTTAAGCCACCGGGTCCGGGACTCGAACCATGGTCGACTACATGGGAGTCTTGCAACATAGCCATTATGCTAACTGCTGGTCCCACAGTCAACTAATTTTTGATAAAGGATACCAGTCAATTCATTGAGAAAAGGAAAACCTTTTTAGCAAATGGTGCTTGAAAAACTGGTTATCCACCTGCAAAAAGATGAAAGTGAATCCCCATTTTTCACCATTAACAAACATCAACTAAAAATGGATCAAAGATCTGAACCTAATACCTCAAACTATAAAACTACTGGTGAAAGGCACTGAGGTAGGCAAAGACTTCTTAAATAAGACTCCCAAAACCCAGGTAATAAATAATCCCTAAAATAGACAAATGGGACTATATCAGATTAAGAAGTTTCTGCACAGCAAAGGACACAGTAATTAGTGTGAATCAACAGCCCTCAGAATGGGAGGATATTTTTGTAAAATATACCACTCAGATAAGGGACTGATAACCAGAATAAACAGGGAACTCAAGCAGCTTGCCTGAAACAAAATGTCTAACCCAATTAAAAGATGGGAAAATGAACTGAACAAAAATCTCTCTAAGGAAGACATACGAACAGCCAAAAAGCATATGAGGAAATGCTCAACATCCCTCTTCATAAGGGAGATAAAAATTAAAACCACAATGAGATACCACCTAACCCCTGTCAGGATGGCGAAGATTAAAAATACAAAAAGTGCTAAGTGTTGGTGGGATTGTGGTGAAGGGGGAACTCTCCTACACTGTTGGTGGGAATGTAAACTGGTTCAGCCACTGTGGAGAACAATATGGAGGTTCCTCAAAGTTCTACAAATAGAACTACCATTTGATCCAGCAACCCCAGTTCTGAGTATCTACCCAAAGGACAGGAGAACGCTCAGTCTGAGAAACACTTGTACATAAATGTCTATTGCAGCATTACTCAAAATCACTAAGGATGGAACCAACCCAAACATCCACAAACGGATGGATGGAAAAAGTGTGGCGCATATACTCTATGGAATACTATTCAGCCATACAAAACAACAAGACCCTGGCATTTGATAGAAAGTGGTTGAATAAGGAAGATCTATTGATGAGTGAAACAAGGCAGAACATGAAAAAAGATATTGTATGTATCCACTTAATATATACTGACTATATGCACTTTATGGTAGAGATTGAAATACTGGAGGGCATAAAAGCAGTGAAAACAGTTACGGATGCTGAAGACAGTGTGGAACAGGGTGGGGAGAAGAGTACAGAGAAGAATAGCAAGAAAACAAATAGGCATAACATTAGTGGGACACAGAAATCGTGTTACCTATTGATGATAACATGTATAGTATTCTCAACTGGACTGATATGAGAAATATTTCATGTTGGATAAATTCTCTTTACAAGCCAAATGATATACAGTGATTGAACGTTTAAAAAAATAATGAGAATAAATAATATTAATAATCTGAAAAAAATGATGAAAAGCTATTTGATGATGATGATGTGGATAGCAATGCCTTTGTCTTGACTGATATGCATGGTAATCATGCTAGGAAAAATGTAATACACTGTAAAGATATATGTGATTAAATGTAATATAAAAATAAAATTAAAAAATAAAAACAAGGGGAAGAGGAGAGATACCCGATATATGTTCTCCAGGCCTTCAGAAAACATAGAGTGGTTCCTCTATTCAACATACATGTGAATCTACAAGAAAGGTGATAGTGTAGACCTCAAGGGAATGGGTGCTGTTCAGAAAGGAATGCCCCACAAGTGTTATCATCGCAAAACTGGAAGAAATTGCAATATTACCCAGGATGCTGTTGGCATTGTTGTAAACAAACAAGTTAAAGGTAAGATTCTTGCCAAGAGAATTAACATGCAAACTGAGCATATTAAGCATTCTAAGAGCAGAGATAGCTTCCTAAAATGCGTGAAGGAAAATGACCATAAAAAGAAGGAAGCCAAAGAGAAAGGTACCTGGGTTCAAATCAATTGAAGCACCAGCCTGCTCCACCCAGAGAAGCACATTTTGTGAGAACCAATGGAAAGGAGCCTGACCTACTGGAACCTATTCCCTATGAATTCATGGCATAATAGATGTTAAAAATAAACAAATTCTGCTCTTAAAATTAATAATAAAATAAAAAAGAAAAGAAAGAAAAAGAATATAGGTATAGAATATTTTTCATTTCTAAGTACAGTACACATCAGTCAATGACTTGGAAAATCTGATGATCCCGCCATCTGGCTTTTAGAGTTTTCAGTCTTCATCTCATTATTAGCATTGTTTGAAATGAATGAGCAACATCTACAGAGCCCTTCACAGGGCTGCAAGGGGCTCTCAAGTTCATTGTCTCTTGTTTGTGCACACATTCCATTTTGTTCTCAAGCTTGGGTATGAAAATCAGTCAAAAATACCCAAAAATCTGTGTGTTGGGTCCACCCATTGGCCGGCTGGTACAGCTGCAGTACCAGGGGGAGCTGACAGAGCACTGATTTCAGTCTTGGCTTTATGTGCTTGCTTTTCTCCTTCCCAGTTGTCTGATTTGGGGTAAATTTCTTAAGCTTTCTCAGTATCAGGCTCCTCCTCCTCTGCCACTCAGATATTGAAAAATACTTAGATGGGACCAGCAGTTAGTGTAATACTTATGTGACTGGACTCCCATGTAGTCAGTCGCAGTTTGTGTCCCGGACCCGGTGGCTTAAAATTCACACCGGGCGCGTGTGCGTGAGTGCCCAAGATCCCAAGAGGAGAATGGAGAAGGGATTGCAGCGTGGCTATCCCCCCTGGGGGGTGATTTCTCGCTTTTGTTCTCTCTCTCTCTGTGTGGCGAGTGCATGCACCCTATAGCAAAGAAACCTCTAAAAAAAAAAAGAAAAGAAAAGAAAAGAAAAATACTTAGAGGGCAGCCAGATGGCATGGTGGTTAAGGCACTGGATTCCACATAACTGGTTTCGCGGTTCGCATCCCAGATCCAGTGGCTTTGTAAAACATGCCAGGTACCTATGCATGTGTGCCCAAAATCCTCAGGAGAATGGAAGAGAAGAAATGCCATCCCCTGGTGGTGGTGGTGGTGGGGAGTTCTCACTTTCCCTTTTTCTCTAGCTTTCTGGTGAGTGCATGCACCCCATGGCAACAACAAACAAAAATAAAACACAAACAATAAAAACTGTTTGGGGCCAGGCCCAAAATGTTAAGAAAGCTGGGTCCCACATGCTTGAACATGCAGTTCAAGTCCCTGACCTGGCAGCTTAAAAAATATGCTGTGGGTGTGTGTGGACATATGTGTGTCTAAGAGCCAGAAGGAAGGAAGATGGAGAAGGGACTGTGGCATGACCTTTCTCCATGGGAGTTGCTTTCTCACTTTCTCTCTCTCTTTCTGTGCCCACTAGCAAATTTTTTTTTTTTAAACTCAATGCATTTGTAATGGGGTTTGAAAATTCATTTTATAAGAGGTTCTAGAACATTTTAAACATATATGTGCTTTTGTGTGATTCTTTTCTCATTAGATCCAAGGCATTTGAAAACAATTTCTTACCAACTTTCTGTGGAAGTTCCAGAAAAAGAGATCATTGAGGAGAATATATTTGATGTTCTACTAAACAACAGTAATGTATCAATTAGTTGTTGTGATTCTAGAATAGCAGGTGGAAAGGTAATTAACTTCTAATTTTTTTACTTGCTATATTTTTTAAATCAATTTTACTTAAAGTTATAAGAAGCTCTCATGAAGCTTACCTACATGATATGGTTAATTATTTTTTTAAAAAATTGGTATAGATTTGGCCTTTAAACTTCTACTAAAGTTTGTAACAATGTCTAACAAATGTTTGGGTGAAAACTGGGAGGAGCTTTATTTGTTTTATTTCAGTTTTTCTAGATTTTGCCAGGGAGTGCACATGCTTGCTGAAGACTGACAGAGAGAAAGTGGGAACGTGCCTCCATTGGCGAGCAGTCATGCCGCAATCCCTACTCCGCCATCTTGCCCTCCTTTCAGGATCTGGGGCCTGCACTCACACGTGCCCAGCATGTTTCTCAAACTGCCTGGTCCGGGACTCAAACTGCCATTGACATCTCATGGAATCCAGTTTCCTTAACCACCATGCCACAGGCTGGCCCAGTTTGTTTATTTTACTTTAAAATGTATAGTTTCACATTAAAGAACATTTGGAACCCTTAGGAAACTAAAAAGAAGGAGAGAAAATCACCAAGTCCCAACCATGTTTTAAATATATTATTTCAGTATCAGGCCAGGCCCATGGTCTAGTGGTTAAAGGAGCTGGGTGTCCTGCGAGACTCACCACAGGGTGTGAGTTCCAGACACAGGGATGTGAAAACATGTCAGCCCCATGTGTGTTCATGCCTCAAATCCTGACAGGATAGAAAGATGAAGGAGAAGGGATTGTGGCATGGCCATGCACCATGGGGTGTACTCTCTACCTCTCTTGTCTCTCTCTCTATGTCTGCCCCACCCCCACCCCCGTCTCTCTCCAGCGAGCACACATTCTGCCCTCTGGTAAATTAAATAAAAATATTTTGTCTATATTATCACAGCCTTAAAATATATAAAGCAGAATTTACACAGAATTAAAAAGAGAAATAAAGAAATCCATAATCATTTGGGATAACTTACCCTATAGCTCTCAAAAATTAAGAGAACTACTAGAAAAAAAAAAACAGTAATACATAATACTCTAGAATATCTGGATAATCCATTTAACACATTGTATTTAATATTCATAAATGTTAAGGGTAAATATATATTTTTTCAAATTAAAAAAACTTGTTTAGGTTTTGCCATAGGCTGTGTGCACTCACCAGAGAGAAACAGAGACAGAGAGAGGAAAAGTGAGAAATCACCGGCCCCCTCCCAGGAGATGGCCACTCCACAACCCCTTCTCCCTTCTCCTCTTGGGATTTTGGACACATGTGCACATACACCCATTGTGGTTTTCAGGACTTGAACTGCAGTTGGCCACATGGGAGTCCAGAACCTTAACCACCATGCCACCTGCTAGCCCCAAGAGTAAATATTTTAAAGATGACATTTCTCCCAAAGTGATCTATAGGTCTAATGCAACCCCCACTCAACTTCTTTTATCTTTTTTTTTTAAATAATTCTTTTATGTATTTATTTTAACTTGACCAGAGAGGGACAGAGCAAGAGAGAGAGAGAGGAAAATGAGAAAGCAAGCCACCAGGTCCAGGACTCAAACTGCAATTGGCCAAGTAGGAGTCCAGCACCCTTAACCACCATGCCACTTGCTGGTCCTACCTCCTTCAATTTCTAAAAGGTGTGCATACTTGTGTATGTTGGGGGAAGGGAAGTCTTGACAAGTTGATTCTAAAATATATGTGGAAAGATTAAAATCCTACAACAGCTAACACACTCTTGAAGAAAGCAGGGCTGGCAGGTAGTGTGGTGGTTGAGGCACTAAATTTCCACGTGGCTGACCATGGTTTGAGTCCCAGACCTGGCAACTTACCTTCTCACTTTTCCTCTTTGTCTCTCTTTGGTCAAATTAAATAATAATAAAGTAACATTAAATTAAATAATTCAAAGAAGAGGAGGAAGAAGAGAAGGAGGTTGAAGAGGAGGAGGGAGAAGAGGAGGAGGGAGAAGAGGAGGAGGGAGAAGAGGAGGAGGGAGAAGAGGAGGAGGGAGAAGAGGAGGAGGGAGAAGAGGAGGAGGAAGAAGAAGAAGAAAGCAAGGGCAAGTATAATATGCTCTACTGGATGTTAAGATCAGTCATAAAATACCATAAGTAATGGGGGCCAGCAGGTGACACGGTGGTTGAGATTCTGTACTCCCACATGGCTGACCATGGTTCAAGTCCTGGACTTGGCGTCTTGCTTTCTCATTTTCTTTTTCTTGTGAGCACATGTGCCCTGTAGCAAATTATAAAATAATAATAATGATAAATAAAATTAAATAATTCTTAAAACACACACACACACACACACACACAAACGATAAGACTGTGAAGTGTTGGGCAGCAATAAACGAAGCCATAGACAGAGCAGCCTAGAATCAGACCCCAGCATACCTGACCGTCTGACCAGTGGCCACTGTGGCACTACACAACAATGGAGGAATGACTACCTGTGCCCTGCCGCGTGCTGGCCCAGTCAGGCACTGCAGTTTTTTTGTTGTTGTTTTGTTTTGCTTTTTTTGGCACTGCAGTTTTTAAAAAGTGAAACTAGAACTGCTGCCTCACCCCATATGTTAAAAACAAACAACAACAAAGTGACTCAAAGACCTAAATGTGAAATGCAAAACTTTAAAGACCTTTTTGTTATAGGTAAGAGCTTTACTATCTCAGATTAAGGAAAGATTAACAGATGGGGGAAAAAGCAGTATCCGAAAGGATTTGCTACCTTAAAGTTGTGAAAGACCAACTAAGAATGGAGAAAATTGGCTCCACAAAGGACTTGTCTTCTCAATGTATGAGTAGACAAGTTTTCATAAATCAACATTTAAAAAAGTCAACTTAATAAAAGAATGGGCTGGGCAAAAAAAAAAAAAAAGACACTTTTCAAAGTGGTCAGTAGGCATTTGAAAAAGTGCTCAACCGCCTTAGTATTCTGAGAGATGAAAATTCAAACCACAATTAGAGATCAGTACATATCAATTGTGTTTTGTAAATGTGAAGTCTGGGGACCAGCGATGGCATTATGGTTACATCACTGGACTACTACATAGTCAACTGTGGTTCAAGTCATAGACCCAGCAGCTTAAAACTCACACCAGGTGCACGTGTGTGCATGCCCAAAATCCCGAGAGGAGATTGGAGAGAAGGGATTGCAGTGTGGCCATCCCCTCAGGCATGACTTCTTGCTTTCCATTTCTCTATATCTCTGTCTCTCCAGCAAGCACACACGCCCTATAGCAAAAATCTCTCTCTACACACACACACACACACACACACACAGTGCAACCTGATAGTACCAAGTTTTGGAAAGGATACAAAGTAACAATAACTATCTTTGGCCACCAATGGAAGTGCGAATTGGTACAACAACCTGGAAATCACCCTGGCATTATCGAGAGTCAAGTAAGATAGGCTTACGTTGGGGCCTGCGGTTTACCTCTGATGTAGGACCTTAGAGGAACTGGGTACCAGTGTACCTGCATAAGAATTTCACAGGCTCATTGGTTGGAATAGCCAAAAACTGGGATATTTCCATCAAAATGACATGAATAAATAGTAAGACAATTCATACAATGAAATACCATACACAAATGAACATTGTTATACTACAGCTACCTGCTGGGCTGTGTATGAATCTTACAAACATAATGCTAATGGAAAGAAGACACAAAAAATACATAATGTGTGATTTCACTTATAAAAATTTCCAAAAAGGGGGTACCAGCAGGTGGCATAATGGTTACATCACTGGACTCCCATGTAGTCAACTGCGGTTTGAATCCCAGACCTGGTAGCTTAAAATTCACACTGGGCGTGTGTGTGTGTGTGTGTGTTCATTTAGACATTCCCAAAATCCCAATAGGAGAATGGAGGAGAAGGGGTTGCCGCATGGCCATCCCCCCTGAGGAAGCGATTTCTCCTTTTCTGTCTCTCTGGCAAACACACATACCCTATAGTAAAAAAATCTCTTAAAAAAAATTCAGAAAGGGGAAAACTTTGTCTGTACTGCTTAGACATGATAAAAGTACAAAGAAAATCAAAGCAAATACTGTGAGATCAGACTTGTGGTTTTGTCTACAAAGGAAGAGTGTTGACACTAGAGTGGATACAGTGGGATGGGGGCTTGATATTCACTCAATGAAATAGCATTTCTGGCTCTTACTGAATGTAGTCCTTATTTCATAACTTTAAAAAGGGAAAAATGTTCATTCTCTCTCAAAACAAATGTGACATGTACATTAGCCCAAACACACATAATATCTATTTTAGTATAATATATTTTAGTATAATTGAAGCTTAGAAATAAATAAGAATTAAATTAAATCTTCAGTTTTTATAAAATAGGTCTAAATTCATTTCCCTACTGAGTTCTACATAGAAAATACCTAGACTTGGAGATATTAATAAGGAATACCAGGCCACCCCCTGGTATGGTGGTTACGGCAGCTGGATACCACATGACCAACTATGCAGTTCGAGTCCCAGGCCAGGCAACACGAAAAACACACCGAGCATGTGTGAGTGCATGCCCAAAACCCTGACAGGAGAAATAGAGGAGAGGGGTCACATGTGAGCACTCTCCATTGAGGGTGCTTCCTCTCTCCTCCTCCTCTCGCTCACTCACTCTCTGGCAAGTGCACGTGCCCTCTGGCAAAAAAAATATTTTCAAAAAGGAGTATCTCCATTTCTTCCCCTCCCACCCTCCACTAGTGCGGTGTACAAATGGGCTTCAAGGATAACTTTGAGATTATACTAGAATATGTTTCTTTTTAAAATCAGGTTTCTTCCACTGAACTTCACATATAGTAATAGTCACGCTTTGTAAGTGTTCAGTTCTCAGTATTTTGACAGCTGTGTAGCCATCACTAGAGCTGGTTTTTATCTTTTCTTTTGATTTTATAGCAGTGTATGTATAAAGTAAAAACTATAAAAAACTTCAGATAGATGTATAATGTCAGATTTCTTCTGGAAAGTTTTTATCTAGTTATACTGCAGGGGTTAGGGACAATTTTAAAAGACTGCTAAAGACCGTGCCCTGTGGTTAAACCAGAGTCAGAAATTAAGGACCAGCAGGTGGTGTGGTGGTGAAGACATTGGATGCCACATGGCTGACTACAGGGTTAAAGTTCTAGAACCAGCAGCTTAAAAAACACACTAGGCGCGTGTGCCTGTGTGCCCAGAATCCCAAAAGGAGAATGGAGGAGAAGGGATTGCTGAGGGGACATCCTCTCTGGGAGGGATGATTTCTCACTTTCTCTCTCTCTCCCCACCCCACTCTGCAAGCACATGTGCCCTATAGCGAAAGAAAGAAAGAAAGAGAGAGAGAGAGAGAGAGAGAGAGGGAGGGAGGGAGGGAGGGAGGGAGGGAATTTAAATTAAGAAATGCTTTGTATCACTGTGTAGTGACCAGCCCATGTTTGCTGTCACGCTTCATGTTTATACGGGAAGCAGTTAACAGTCGGTGCTCTCTTCTTTTCTGGGGTGGGCAGGTTGTGAGGGACGAGCTCTTAGAGAAGAACTACAAGCACGGGGGAAAGTTTCTGACTTCCTTTCCGGACGGGACGATGCAAATATTGTATCCTTTCTTTCAACAAGTTACTTGTATTAGCTTTATTTCTTTAAAAAATCCAGAACAAGCCCAGCCATGGTGGTGCAGGCAGTCAGGGAGCTGCTGCACAGTGCTGCAAGCTATATGGGAGGGCTCCAGGTTCGAGTCCTGAGTTCACCTGAACGGTCAGGCAAGGCAGCTCTGTGCTCCTTCCCGGCTGCAGGACTTCAGGGAGGACCACAGTATAAAGACCCTGTCAGGGGTGTCTCTCTTTCCCTCTCTGTTTCTCAGGAAATGGGTAAGTTTGAAAGGAAGAAAGAAAGAAAATACCAAAAATATAAAGAAAAAGATTACCTCCAAATTCTACTTCCTAGAAAAGTGAATGTATTTTAATATATCATTACTTTTTTCTAGGAATATATATAGATATAGATATAGATATAGATAATTCTTTTTTTGTTGTTTTTTTTTGTTTGTTTGTTGTGCTATAGGGCATATGCATTTGCTGGAGAGAGACATAAAGAGAGAGCGGAAGTAAGAAATCATCCCCCTGGAGGGATGGCCATGCTGCAATTCCTTTTCCTCCATTCTCCTCTTGCAATTTTTGGATATTCATATACACACGCCCGGGCTTAATTTCAAGTCACCAGGTCTAGGACTCAAACCACTTGGTCAACCATGTGGAATCCAGCTACCCTAACTTCCACACCACCTGCTGGCCTGAGCATATATATAATTCTTTAAAATTAATGCTTAAAGCTCTCTGTTGAAAATGATGCACATGGGAATCCAGCAGGTGGCGTGGTGGTGGTTAAGGTGCTGGACTCCCACATGGCTGACTGTGGTTTGAGTCCCAGACCTGGCAACTTGTTTTCTCACTGACTCTCCCTCTGGTGAGTACATATTATAGCACTATAGTAAAATTTAAAAATAATAATAAATTAAATTAATAATTTTTTTAAAGTAAGGAAAATTATACACATGGCAATATCCTTGATTTGTCACGTCCTGCACACGTACTTTGAAAAACCATATTTTGTACTATAGGGATGCACAATGATTGAATGTAAATAAGAAAACCTAAAATTAAAAAATCAATTCTTCATTTATTCATATTTTGCCATGAGCCCCTTAAATATAATATTATGCAATAAATGATGTTATGAGTACATGCAAAAAATAGACACATCATTTTTATAACCTATAAATATAGATAAATAGACAATGTTTTTCAAAACCACACAGTAGCTCATTATAGGGATGTTACACAGGGCTCTTTAAAACATTCATGAAAATGTTCTGAAAACATGGAGACTGCCCTAAAATGCCCTAAAATTTTTGGCGCCCAAAAAACTTATCCTTTAATTCCATTCTTCCACACCTTTTGGAAGTTGCCATGTAATTCATTTAACCTGTTCCATTCTACTGAACAAAAGTGGTTTCACATTCTTTGCTCTTACACACACAGTTTAAACCCAGTTTAGTACACTTTGTTGGATACTTATTATTTATTTCCTTAAATAAGTGATGGTAGATGTTCTGGAAGATTTGGACATATTAAAACTTCGATATACCCACCCCCTGAAAACGTGTGCCAGTTTACATACATCCACGAGCAGCAGCTTGGTTTGAATACCAAAGCTCAGTATCCACTTCATGGAACACAAGTTAGTGATTGATCACTTGGACTCGTGCCTGAGAGGCCATTGGATATATTGACATAAAGGTCACTTAACATCTCAAGGAAAGTTTTTTTAAAATGATGAAAGGGGCCAGCAGGTGGTGTGTTGATTAAGGTGCTGGACTCCCATGTGGCCAACCATGGTTCCAGTCCTGGACGTGGTGGCTTGAAAATCCCACCAGATGTATGTGCGTGTGTGTCCGAAATCCCAGGAGGAGAATGGAGAAGAGGCTGCACTGTGGCCATCCCCCCATGGGGTGATTCCTCACTTTCCCTCTCACTGTCTCTGTCTCTCTCTGGTGAGTGCACATGCCCTGTGGCAGAAACCTAAGTAAATAAATAAGTGAGAAGGACTTTTTCATGACCTAAGAAGCCTCCCTTTATAGAAGGTTGTTTTTCTCAGTTTTCTAAATGTTTAGTCAAACCTCAATGATAAACCAGGACTTGCATGGCATAGAAAGCCCTAATGAAGTTTTAGTTACTTCAGCCCTGAGAAGAGGGATAGCCTTTGTTTTAACGACATCAATGAATTTCAAGTAACATACCCACTTTTAGTATTATTATTATTTCATGCTCTGACTTGAATTCTTAGCTCTCTGAAAGACTGTGGCTGATTTTCAAAATAATTTGGAATCAAGTCTGTGTATATTTCATCTTTGGACATCTGATTAGCCTTGATATGGACTGAATATTAACAGTTAGTGAATTATCCACAGTATATTTTATTCTTCCGGATGCTATTATAAATGGAATTACTTTCTGTTTAATTTCTAGAGGGTGCATGTACTTGCCAGAGAGAGACGAAGACAAAGAGAGAGGAAAAAAATTACCTCCCAATGAGGCATGGCCATGCGTCTTGCCAGAGAGAGACGAAGACAAAGAGAGAGAAAAAATATCACCTCCCAACGAGGCGTGGACATGCGTAGTCCCTTCTCCACTTCTCTGTCCTGTTGGAATTTGGTGCATGTATACATGTGTCCAGCGTGTTTTTCAGGCCAGTGGAGTAGGGATTTGAACTGTAGGTCAGCTATGTAGGATCCAGCTTCCTTAACCACTAGGCTACAGGCTCGCCCTGGAATCTTTTCATCTTTTTCTTGATTTCATTTTCAGAATGTTCAGTATTACCATATAGAAATACATTTTTTTTTTCCAGAAGGCACCTGTGCTTGCCAGAGATAAAGACAGAGAGAAGGAAAGAAAGGCAACCCTCCCTTCAATGGGGAATATTCACACTGAAATCCTCTCCTTCTCTTCCACTTTTCTTCTGTTCAGGATTTGGGGCATGCATGCACACGTACGTGTGTGTGTGCGCGCACACACACACACACACACACTTGTACACATACCTGGTATATTTTGTTCAAGCAGGTGAGTCTGGAACTTAAACCATGCAGTCAGCCATGCGGGATCCAGCTACCTTAATGAGCATGCCACAAACTGGCTCCAACTTGTTTGTTCATTTATTTATTTATGTTTAGGTGTGTGCCATAGAGCATGTGTGCTTGCCAGACAGAAACAGAGAGAAAATGATTAAATGATTTT